TGGAAGACAGGCACCTGGTAGTTCTGCAAGTGTTTCGTCTGCATGTGCTTCTGCAGCTCATACTTGCGCTTGCAGGCAAAGCCGCACACCTCGCAGATCAGACTTTTGCCCTGGTGCCGCAGTTTGTGGCTGCTCAGCTGGTCAGCACGGTGGCACCGGTACGAGCACTGGTTGCACTGGTATCTGTGGGGAAAGCAGAACTGGTCAGGCAGCATGAGGAGCTGGGGCAGACTGAGCCTGTCAGGCATGCCAAGCTCCACTTCCCTATCGCAGGCATATGGGGAAGGAGTTCTGTTTGGATTGCCGTATCTGACCTTTGCTGTCAAGGCAGTTCTTACCACAGGCAATTCCTCCCTGCTGTAGCCCTTGGCACTCCTGATACTTTACAACCCCAGTCTGGGGATGGGAGATAGATTCTCTGAATAGTCCATACAGTGACCACATCACTCCCCCACTTGTCACTCCAGTGTCCTGGAGGCAGACTAGACTCAAATGAGGCGATAATACAGAAAAACATGTTTTGGCAGAGTCCTGTATATGCCCAAGCTGGCCTTGGCCCACAGACATCAGCAGAGCCCATGAACCCAGACTCAGAGCTGCACTGATATGCTAATACACCTCCTTAGAGGCAGAGACACCAAAAATAGCTTTGCCTCCACAGCAACATGCTGGCAACAACCTGCAAGCTGAAAGACCACACTTATCTGCCAGGAAGAGCAGGTTGTAGCTATCCCCCAGGCACAAGGGTCTGGCACACAATGCAGCCCAGAGCAGCAGACCCCTTGAGCAGAATCTGGGGAGCCCTGACTATGCTGCAGGCCAGAGGAGCCAGGGTTCCTACCGGAGGTCTCCAGTGTGCTTGCGCATGTGGACGTTCAGGTAGTGCTTCCACTTGGTAATGTAGCCACACTCGGTGCACATGAAGTTCTTGTCATTAGAGTGGGTCAGCATGTGCTTGGACAGGTAGCTCACATCCCGGCATGTGAAGTCGCAGAGCTCACACTTGTGAGGCTTCTCTCCTACATGTAACACAGGAACATCCTCAGCATGATGACCAGATATAGCAACGTGGTTTACCTCCTCTCAGCAGGAGCTGGGGGATAACAGCAGGGATGGGGGCACACCACGACTTCAGCCAAGTGACTGAGGCTGAAGTGGCAGAGCCACTGATAGGGTGGCAGAGCCAGTGATAGCACCCAGGAGCCCTGACCCAGCCCTGTCTGCCCACCCATAGCCAGGACAGGACTCCCCATCCCACCCTGGCTCTCAGGATGCCCGCAGCAGACACCCACCCGTGTGCAGCAGCCTGTGCCGGATGAGCACCCTCTTGTGCGCGGTGGCGAAGGTGCACTCGCTGCACTTGTGGATCTTCTCATTGGCGTGCATCTTGCCCACGTGGTCGTGAAACTCCACAGGGTTGAAAGTGGCATAGGGGCAGAAGCTGCACTGGAGCTGCTCGCTGCCTGGGTGCCCCTGCTTCTTGTGCTTGCGGAAAACGTGCTTGTTGGAGCAGATGAAGTCGCACTGCTGGCAGTGGAAGGCGTAGTGGGTTTTTCTGTGAGCCTCCATGGCCTCGGCCGTGCTGAAGAGCAGCGAGCAGGCATGGTACTTGCACTCCACCGCCTTGATGCTATGGGCATCCTTGAGGTGACGGACAAACTCCTTCCGGTCCTCCACGCAGTAGTCACAGTCCTCCTGGAAGCAGCTCAGCCTCTTGGGCTCAGCTTTGTGAGTCTTCAAGTGCTCTTTGAGGGCCTGGCTGAGCCGAAACTTCTCATCACATACAGGGCAGGTGTAAACATCCGAGTAGAAGTTGGAAATGTCCTCATGCATGCTGGCCATGTGGCGGTTGAGGGCGTTCTTCTCCACCGAGCTGTAGCGGCAGAGCGGGCAGCGATGGGTCTTCTCACCTGTCTCTCGCATCATATGGATTTTCAGTTTGCTTTTGCTGGTAAAGTATTTGTGGCAGCTGGGGCACTGCAGGCTGGGGTCAGGGAAGTGCAGGTGGAGGTGCTCCACCAGATGCGTCCGCTTCTTGAAGCACCGCTTGCACTCAGGGCACATGTGGGTTTTGTAGAGGTACTCTGAGCCCTCCATGACATCCCCTGTGACAGCAGAGGAGGGGCAGCCATCAGCAGGGAAGGGAGAGCACAGGCAAATGTTTTCTCCCTGATCCAGCTGTGCCAGGGGGAGGGTATATACACATATATGATCACACAGCAGGATGGGTCAGGTGAGCTCTTTCCAGTTCAACACAAGGAAAGCACAGCCTAAATCATGCCTGCCTGTGTGCCCCTGGTCCCCAAAGCCAGGCACACTTCTGGCTGCTTTTGCCTGCACTTGGCAGCAGCTATGGATGGGCAAAAGAAGGGATGTGTCTGACTGGGCAGAGGGCAGCTGGAACAATGCACTGGTACATGCAGGAGATGTTGGGGCTGCTGGACAGCAGAGAACCCGCAGGGCCCACCAGCTTGGCCCACATTTCCCTGCCAGTTTGGAGGCTGTACTGCTTCTGCACAATACAGGCAGCTCCTGGTAGGGCCCAACATCCTACCTTTGAAATGCTGTGTCCGTGGCACTCTGGTTTTCTCAGGGGCTGCTTTCTCATCCTCTTTGGCCTCACCTTTGCATGGGCTCTCGCCATCCTCCTCCGGTGACTCATTCTCACCACTGTCGGAGTTCTCTTCCCCACCTGATGCTTTCTGACCCTCCAAGGAGCCCTCCCTGGTGCCTGCAGGCTTTGCTGGCCTGGCTTCTGCTGCAGTGGCTTCCCAGCCAGAGTCACAGTCCCCTGTCTCCTCCTGTCCTGCTGCTTCAGTAGGGAAAGACAGAGATCATCAGGCTTCAGGCAAAAGGCAGGCACCCAAACCCCTACATGTAAAAAACCTCCTGGCTGAGATGAGGACACAATCCATGCCACAGGGAGGAAGGAACACAGGGCTCCATGGCCTTCCAGCAGCACAGCCTCACCCCCTACTCCTCCAATTTGCAACTGGGATGCATGGACGTAGTCATCCTCTGCAGTACTCACAGACCCCAACAATGTACCCAGTCATACCTGATGGCAGGACATAGCGCTGCTCGAGGCTGTGGGGGGCTGAATCAGGGGGGGCACCAGTTTCAGGTGTCTTGGTGGGAGGCTCCACAGCGTGGCCCTTCCTGTGCTGCCAGAAGAGTTTGGCATTGGCTGTGACAAAGTCGCAGTGGCTGCAGTGGAAGGGGAAGTGTGTGCGGTGGTGCTGCTCCATGGTGGGGTGGCTGGGGAAGAGAAGCGGGCAGGCACGGTAGGAGCAGGACACAGGGGAGGCCCCATGCAGGCGGCGCAGGTGGCTGCGCAGTTGCTTGCGGTCCTCTGTGGTGAAGCAGCAGCCCTCCTCAGGGCAGGGCAGGGCTCCCAGTGGGGCACGGTGTGTCCTGAAGTGCTCCTTGAGCTCGCTGGGCTGTGTGAACACCTCCTGACAGACAGGGCACAGCAGGCACTCAGAAGTGCAGCCCTCCTGTGTGCCAGCTCTGGGTTGCTCCGGGCCCACTGGCTCACTCTGGCCTTTGCTGGCAGAAGCCAACAGTGTCCCAGGCAGCTCCAGATGCTGCGGGGAGGCCCGGAGAAGGCACCGGTGGTGGGACAGCAGGGAGGCCTCTGGGAAGCTCTGGCCGCACCTCTCGCAGAAATACAGCTCCACCACTTTGACCAGCACCTCTGCAAGCAGCAAACGGTGAGCAATAAGAAAGGGTTTTTGTCAGGCCCAGAGCTTGGGACTGGCAGCTCAGTTCCAGCTCTGGACAAAGAGGATAAACTGCTACTACCACAAATTACAGTTTGAAGAACTGCAGCACTCCTCTTTCCTGGGGTATCTCAGGGTATCTCCCATAAGAGAGGGGGCAGCACCACCCACATCCAGGTGACCACAATAACCAGGTCTGTCCAGTAGGACCTTTGGGGCACACAGGGATGCAAGGCCCCGTTCCTAGCAGGACATGCCCACTCTGGACAAAGATGAGAAGCATATTGAGGACAGTAGTCTGGGGTGGAGATCTCTGCTTGGTCCCTTCTGACAGCTGAGCACGACCCCCCCACCCTGCACAGAGCTCTCATAGCCCCCTCTCCCCACCTGCACACTCTCCCTCCATTCACTGCCATGGGGCCCTCCCTGCACCCCATACCTGTGGCACTGGCCGGGTTGCTCAGCGCCATGTTGCCAGCCACTGCCTCAATGAATATTTCCACGTTGTTTCCTTCAGCATGAACCCCTTCTCCGGGCATTGATGCCTCTGCCAGCAGCAAGTCCTGGCTGGCAGCCAGCGGGGGTGTCCTGGCCGGGCTGGTGCTGGCCACATCGGAGCTTCCCACAGCTCCTGCCTCTCCTGATGTGGGCAGGAGCAGCTCCGAGCATAGGGCCTCCATCTCCCTGCTGGCACCCTCAGACACAGCCACTTCTGCGCTCATTGCCACTGGACACTGGCTGGTGCTGGGCAGCACAGCCTCTCACTCTGAAACAGAAGAAAGTGCTTTAAACAGCGACAATGCAGAGCTCCAGGGGCGCTACGGGATTTTGGCGGGCAGCCTGCCGTGCCAGTTCCTAGGCAGGGTATGAACTGGGGTATCTTAATGCCGGCTCCCTTCTGCTGTGCCCCAAGCGGGCTACCGGCACAACCCACTGCCACCGGCGAGGCGGGGCTGCAAGGAGCCCTGTACCTGCCTTCGGCCTGCTCCGAGCCCCGCTGCCAGGGCTGGCTCCCCGGGCCCAGTCCCCAGCCCCCAGCCCCAGCCCCAGCCCCAGCCCCAGCTCCAGCCCCAGCCCCAGCCCCAGCCTCCAGCGAGGAGGTGCCCACCGCGGCTCGCCGCACGGCTAGCGGCGCCCCAACCCCTTCGCACCGCAGCCCCGGCCTATCCCGCCGCCCCGGGCCGCGGCCTCAAGCCGGGCCCCGATATCTCCGCCCCATGTCGACGGTGCTCGCCGCGGGGCGGGAGCGTCCCCCTTTGTGCGCTCCGCTCTGCCCCGCTGCCCGCCCGACGCCACTCTGCGTTGCCGGAGCCGGCAGCCGGGCGGAAGCGGCGCTGGGCGGAAGTGAGGGCCGGGGCCATAGAGAGCGGCGCGACGCGGGCCAGAGCGGCGCTGCGGGGAGGTGAGGGGCGGCGTGGCCAGAGGCGCCTTAGCCATGGGGTGAGCGGAGCGGGTGGGTCTGGGCCCGGGCCCTTGTTGTGGAGGAGAGCCGGTGTAGGGCTGGTGTCCCGCAGGGGCTGCGGGGGAGAAGGCCCATCTGCGGTAGGAGGACCCTGCCATGGGCCTGTGGCTGGGGAAGGAGCCCACGCTGTGGGGTCAGGGCCTGTTCTAGGGGAGGTGGGATCCTGCCGGGGGGAGCAGAGCGTGTCTGTGTGCCCGTCAGGAGAGGCTCACATTCACCTCCTGTGTCTGATAGATCCCTGCTGAGGGAGCTAGGGAAGCTTCCAGCCTCCTCAGCATACAGTGGGGGCCTTTTATCCAGACGTGGAGGTTCTTCCACCACAGCCATGTGCCCCCTGCCAGCAACAAAGGACAGGCTCTGGACTCAGCCTGGGGATGTACTTCATCTTTTTAAAACAATAAACCTTAAATAATGGCAATGCTCATGATTTCTAGCTGCTTAAAGAATAAAATCGCGTAAAACTCTGGGGATGCTGTTATGGCTGAAGAAGCAAGAGGTGTCCCTGTGCTTGTTTGAGAACCTCCAGCTCTCTCCTGCCTGTCTCACCCAGTGGCCTGCAGCCAGGGAACTGCAGATCAGTTGTGTCTCCTGCTGCCATTCCATCCTTCTCTTCCCACACAGGTTTGGTTTTGGAGCACAGAGACCAGATGGTGTGGAACAGGAACCACTTAACTTCCCACAATGCCCTTTTCTGACTTTGTCTTAGCCCTGAAGGACAACCCATACTTTGGGGCTGGGTTCGGCCTTGTCGGGGTGGGCACAGCTCTGGCATTTGCCCGTAAAGGGGCCCAGTTTGGGCTGGTGGCTTTCAGGCGCCATTATATGATCACCTTGGAGGTGCCTAGCAGTGATAAGAGCTACCACTGGCTGCTGAACTGGATCTCCCACCATGCCAAGCACACGCAGCACCTCAGCGTGGAGACATCATACCTGCAGCATGAAAGCGGGCGCGTCAGCACCAAATTCGACTTCGTGCCTAGCCCTGGGGACCATTTCATCTGGTAAGGGAGGGCAGGGGAAAGCACTCTGGGGATTGACCTTCATTTTGGCAAGGCAAGTCCAACCTGGGGTTTCTGTGAAGGCAGCAGAGAGGATCCTGTGTCCTCCTTGGGTCTGGATTAGAGCTGGAGATTGAGAGTGGTGAGAGGAGCCTGTATTCAGCAGTGTGAGGTTATTTCTTTACCTGAGATGAATGTTCTTGATGCATGAACCGTGCTGGGTGCAGTGAGTGGTGCTGGGCCACTGTCCCCAGCCATCTTTCTGCCCCAGGTATCGCAAGAAGTGGATCCGCATTGAGCGCAACCGGGAGAAGCAGATGATCGACCTGAACACGGGCACCCCCTGGGAGTCTGTGACCTTCACTGCGCTGGGCACCAACCGCGAGATCTTCTTCAATATCCTGCAGGAAGGTCTGTAGAGGAGCTGCATGAGGTCCTGCTGGGAAGAGCCTGTTCCCTGGAGACGCACAGGGCTCTACAGGAGATATTTCCCTGGCACCTGTCCCCTCTGCTCTCTCTGCAGCCCGGGAATTGGCACTGCAGGAGCAGGAGGGGAAGACAGTCATGTACACGGCCATGGGGGCAGAGTGGCGGCAGTTCGGTTTCCCCCGCCGCCGCCGGCCCCTCAGCTCTGTGGTGCTGGAGGAAGGTGTGTCGGAGAGGCTGGTCCAGGATGTGAAGGAGTTCATCAGCAACCCCAAGTGGTACAGCGACAGAGGCAAGGTTCTGGTGTGGTGTCCTCACTATCATGGCTCCTTATGCCTTCCCTGCAGCCATGGCTGTGGGGTGACACTTTGGGCACATCCTGCAAAAAAGTGAGCCCAGGCCTGGGGCTACAGAGGGGCAAACTCCCCTTGGCTCAGTCCAGTCCTGGAAATCACGGTAAGCCACGGAGTTCATCACCTGTGACACTGCTGTGTGGTGGGACAGGATGCCCGTGGTCCTCTCTGGAAATAGCTGCAGAGAGGTTTTTTTCTCTGCTGCTTGCCTTCACCTGCTGTATCTTCTGGGTGTGCTGAGCACAGGCCCACAACTCTGGGGGAGTGTGCTCAGAGCAACCCAGCTGATTCCTAAAAGGACCCTGTCTTCCTAGGAATCCCCTACCGAAGAGGCTACCTGCTATATGGTCCTCCTGGCTGCGGGAAAAGCAGTTTCATGTGAGTATTACTGGTTGGCTAACGGGAGTTTTCCTTCCAGCTGCTTGCTCTGAGACAGCAGTCTCTGGTGGGTTTGAAATGCAGGAGAGGGCCGTGCCTCCTTTGTGGTGCTTGATGTAGGTGTTTGCGTTGCTGGCACTGTGACAAGTCGAGGTTGACGAGCCCTTCACACCCTTGCTTGGCACAGTGCTGTTGTGACACCAGGGGGCTGAGCAGGGGCTCCCACCTACCTCCCATATCTGATCCCTGCTGGGAGAGGATGCCTCTGCCCTCTCTCCTGCTGCTGGGAAGGGAGGTCTGGTTCTTCCTCTGCTCTGGGCTTTCTTGCTATGATTCACCCCTGTGGTTTGGGTCCTTCCCAGCACAGCCCTGGCCGGGGAGCTGCAGTACAGTATCTGCCTGCTGAGCCTCAGTGACCGCAGCCTCTCTGATGACCGGCTCAATCACCTCCTGAGCGTGGCGCCACAGCAGAGCATCATCCTGCTGGAGGATGTGGATGCTGCCTTCATCAGCCGGGACCTTGCTGCTGAGAGTGAGTGGTGCCCCCATTCTTGGTCCAGCAGCAGGAGGGAGGTTTGCCAGCTGTGATGGGGAATGGTTTGGACTCTGGGCTACTTTGCTGCACCAGCAGAGTGGGCAGCTCTCTGGGGCCTCAAGGCCTGAGCTGGACCACTCCCAGTTTTGGCTAGGCTATACAAAGGGAAATTCGGGTTCTTTATCAGGCAAAGACATTACTCCTGCTCAGCTATTTTCAGCAGGAGAAAGGAGATGGCTTTTCCCCTCATTCTCTTTTTGGGTTCTTGTGGGTTCAGGTGGGCAGGGGAGGCAAGGGGTCAGCCTCAGGGCAAGGAGAGAGCAAGGAGCTTGTCTTAAGCCTCAGGTGAATAGGGAGGTGGTCCACAAGGCTGTGTGGGGTTAGTGTCCAATGGATGTGATCTCATACACCTCTGTCTCTACAGACCCGACTGCATACCAAGGCATGGGGCACCTGACCTTCAGTGGCCTCCTCAATGCACTGGATGGTGTGGCCTCCACAGAGGCCAGGATTGTCTTCATGACCACTAACTACGTGGACAGGTCAGAGCTGCCCTCTGGCAGGAAACAGGGAGGGTAGCACAGAGAAACCTGTCTGGGCTTTACAGAGAGCTATTTGTGTCTGTCACATGAGGACTGGGGGTTCAGGTTTCCTGAATCCTCCCTTGGAATGCAAATCCCTTGATTGCTAATCAGGATCCCTTTTGCTGGAGCCTCAGATGTTTCCTTGCTGTTCAGACCATGGTTGTGCTCTTCAGGAGCAGTACCTGCCCATAGGTTTTGGGGTTGTGACCATGCTGTGAGTGAAACACTGGCCCTGTGTACAGCCCATTGGGTGGGCAGGATGCAGTCCGGGCTCACAGCACCTGGCCAGATGCTGTGCTTGGCTTGCTCTGGACTGAACTGGCCTAGAGGGTTTTTGAGAGGTTTTTCAGAGGACAGAGATGGGCAAAGCTATTTCCCAGGGCATGTTTGCCCTCTTCCTGAGGAGTCAGCCCTTCCTCAGCTCACTCGCTTCTTTTGGGTTGATTTTACCCCTTGGGACTCCAGGGACAAACCTGTCCCCACCTTTACTGTCTCACAGAGCAGAGCACCTTGCAGATAGGACATGGTCTGTGCTTATTGTGCAGAGACACTTTGCTAAGGTTCTCAAGGCACCCATATCTCTTGGCAGGCTGGACCCAGCGCTGGTGCGGCCCGGCCGTGTGGATCTTAAGCAGTATGTGGGCCATTGCTCCCACTGGCAGCTCACCTGCATGTTCCAGCGCTTCTACCCTGAACAGCCGCTGGCTGCGGCGCAGCGCTTTGCGGAGCAGGCGCTGGAGGCCTCGAAACAGATCAGCGCTGCTCAGGTGCAGGGCCACTTCATGCTCTACAAGATGGACCCTGAAGGAGCCATTTCAAACATACGCTCCATCCTGCTGTGATCAGAGGCCAGCTTTCCCCTGCCACACTGAAAGGACTGGGACAAGGATGTGACCATCCTGGGATGCCATGAAGCTGCCGAGCCATGCAGGCCAGGTCTCTGTTCACCTCTACCCATCCAATGCCTTGGCTTTTTATTAAAACATGAGAGGCAGAGCTGCCAGCCTTGCAGCAGGGAGAGGAAATCTCCCATAAACTGCCAGGGCTCCTGGATGTTAATCCCCTTGGGTGCAGAGCAGCGTGGGGGGTGCCCCAGGAGGTATTCCTTGGGGCAGGACATTGGAGTGCTGGACTGCTAAAGAGCTCCTGGTCTTTTACGGAACAAGTCTTCACTGGTTTGTGAATATCCTTTGTGAAGTGCTCAACATGGCTCTTGGCTCTCTGGTCCCTTCTCCTGTTGGTTGCCCCAGCTTCTGGTCCAGTGCCCTCCTGACCAGGGCCTGGCACAGCCAGTACTGCAGATCCAGTGTTTCAGAAAAAAGCAGCTCACTGTCCCTTGGGCTGCAGGCTGGTGGCACAGTTCCTGCCCTGCTGGGTTGTGATGCCAAGTTGTGGATTGGCTTGGACATTGTTCCTGGGTGGGCATGACTCTCGCCCCTGCTAGAGGAAATATGGGGCCCTGGAGCTACTGCCCCCCTGCATGTGGGGGCAGATGAAACTCTTTGGTTACATAATATCTTCCCAAGAGCTTGATGTTTACCCCAACATGAATTTCTGCAGCCCTGCTAGCCCTGTGCAAGGTGCAGAAATCCCTGTTGGAGGTTCCTGCTGCTTCAAGGAGGAGAGGCCCTGCATGGCTGAAGAAGGAATTTGTCTCACTGCTGGCAGGCTCACAGCCTTTTCCCTGTCACTGGGTTTTCTTTCTGCTAGGAACAAAGGTCCTGGATGGGCAGGTAGAGCCATGGGTGCCTGAAATGCAGTCGAGGAGCAGGCAGGTTCTGTGCTTCCTTCCAGCGCCATGGAGCTGGGGTGTGCATGCTGACCCAACAGAACAAAACAGCCTGACCCTGTTTCAGAGTCCTGAAATCGGCTTCCCCAGAGCCAGCCCTGTGTTCATGTTCTCACTTTGGGGGCTGCGTGAGCTTGGTGGGGCAGGTGAAGCTGGTTCCATGCTAAGCCTGAACTGCGTTGCTGCTCAGCCCAACTCTTGGCTCTGCCTTGTGGGGTCAAGAGCAAAGCTGAGAGCATGTGGCGACAAAAAAGAACCCAGGTGATGGCACCTGGCTGAAGTTCAGCACAAAGAGGTGCTGCTTTGATGCAACCCTACTTAAAATACTTTTACAAGTGAAAGGCTTATGTTGTGAGCATGGGGTGTGTGTGCATGTGTGTCTCTAGTGACCCTGTGTGGCTCCTGGAGCAGGGTGCTGGTGCTGACATCTCAAACCCTGTGCTCAGCTGTCCCAAGGAGGCCAATTGCTTGGATCCAGCCTCTTCCATCAAATCTGGCCTGTGCCTGGTGAATGCCTCATGGTGGTTCAGGAGGACAGGGGACTGGTGAGGAGAGCCAGAGAGGCATGATGCCACTACACAAGAGCACACACATCTTTTCACTCTGCTTGCTTTTAATAGCGGTAATGCTACAGATGCCACTGGTGCACTTCTGCCCAGCCCAAGTGCTTTCAGCAGCAAAGTCCCACAACAGCCCCATGAGGTAGGTGGGTGACAGTGGACACCAAGCAGGGAGCTCCAGGGCAGGGTGCAGGCTCCATTCCTCCCCTCTGACCTGACCCAGAGGTTTGTTTATCCCAAATTCATTTCCATGCACTGTTGCAAACTGTCCTCTGCTCCACGCTGACAGCAGTGAGTCAAAAAGGTGAGAGCCCTTCCTAAATCTGAGGGAAAACACCTCCCCACTCTGGCATTTGACTGAAGTTTCCCAAGTTCACTCTGAGTTCCAAGGCAGAATTCCCATGCTCCAGACACTGGGGCCAGCAGCTTTCCTGCTGAGAGTAAGGCTGGCTCACTTGAGGAAGCCAAGGAGTTTCAGCAAAGGGCAGAGATCTTCCGTGTTTCTTCCAGTACGCCTCTGTTGGAGCACAGCATCTTCACAGGTGAAGGCAGGAGGCAGCAGCACAAGTACCAACATCAGATAAAGCTGGTACCTTTTCACCCAAGTGTGGACAGGCCACTCACCCAGAACCCAGGTGAAACAAGGACAGAGTGAGCACTGAAGCAAAATCAAGGCTCTCTTCAAGGAGCAAGGGCTCAGTCCTTGTTTCCAGCAAGGCATAACATCTGGTGCCGAGATCCCCAATCCCAGGACAAGGAGGGGAATTAAAAAATAATGCTTCCGAGCATCAGGACTGAAGAGAGGCCAGTGTTGGAAATTTAAGCACAGAAGGTTCTTGAGCAGCAGCACAAGGACAAGGCCAGGTGTGAAGAACAGGGCAGGGTGAGAAAGACCCATCCAAGGATCCCATTGTGCACCCTTTATGTGCCAAAGGATCAGCCAGGCAGATGCAGCACAAATGCCCTCCCAGCTGGCATCAGCCCTTGGGTTCCCAGGGATCTCGCCCAAAGCTCTGGCACATCCATTGTAGCATGGCCAGTTTTGCACTCAGCAGGAGGAGGAAGACAGTAACAATCCACATATGGCCAAGAGTGGTGGGGGCACAAGGCACAAACAAGCGTGAAGGAATCAGTACTGTGAGACAGGGAGCTTACAGTGAGCTGGGCAAAGCAGGGACCATGGAGACCTCCAGCCACCCAGGAGTGCCAGGGGAAGGTCCCTGCCCTGGCCCCAGGTGTAGGCAGCAGGGAGGGCAGTGAGCAACACCAGGGATCACACCTTTGCTCTGAACAGCAAAGACCAGGAGGGAGAGAGGGCAGGGAAAACAAAGGGAGCAGGCTCTGGAAAAGAAGCAACAAATTAATTTAATAGCAGTATCCCACTTCAGAGGCTTGGGATTGCCCGTCACAGCTCTGGAGTGGGACACTGCTGAAATCTGTGCAGCAGAAGTAACTGCACCAAATTAGTTTAAACAACAAATCCCCGTTTCTTTGAAGCAGGGTCAGCTTGAAGATGAAAGTGAGTAAGAATATCCAAGACGTTGTGGCTTGTCTTCACTCTAAACTATGGTGAGCTCCAAGAGCAGCATGGCATTAGACGGGGATCCCAAAAGAGGTTGCAAAGCAGAGGGCTCTTCCCAGGTCTCTCCCATCAGCTTCTGCCTGCACAAAAGCAGCTGAACAGCAGTCAGGGCTGCAGCAGAAGCGATACTATCTCCAAGAGACAGCAGTTCAGAAGGTGCTTTAGGAAGGAATGGGGGATACAGCAAGCTGAGCTCCAGGCTGCTGCCCTGGCACAGCCTCATCACTTGGCACCACTGCAGCTTTGCTGGGATGCTGACTTCCAGGGAAGGTCCTGCCACAACTCTGGCTCTGCTGTGGCACTGTGCTGAGCTCAGCGCATTTGCTCTGTAGGTATGCATGTTTCTTGACAGCTCACATACAGGGATAATGGCTGCATGTCCCTAGTCAAGGCTTCCTCTGTCCCCTGGGTCCTCCAAGACCAACGCTGACATGATTTGTCAGGATTCAGCTTCTCCAATGCTGGTGACAGGTCATGTCAGGATGCTTCACTCTGCACATATCCTAGGGACACTGCCTGTCCCAAGCTGTACCATATGCTAACTGCCTCATCCCTCTCCCAAGGGGTATAGTGTCTGCTTGCTACTGCTCCACCAAAACTTCACTGTTCTTCCCAGAAATACCACCCCCGCCCCCAGCCCAGTTCCTCACCACTCCTGCTAGGAGCCACTCTCCTTCTCAAGATGGGCTTCTTGTCGTCCACTGGGCCTGAATGTCCCTTGTCCTCTTGGCACTCTGGGGTAGGAACCATGCTCCTGGGCTCTGGACCTCTCCCACCTCCCACAATCCCAGGACCTGTGGTGGCCCTGCCGGCTGGGAGCTGCTCTGTGGTCGAACACCAGTTTCTTCTCCCTGGACGGGGCCTCAGTCCCCTCCTCTGGGGTCCATCTCTCCACATCACGGTGCTCCTCTTTCAAGTCCACTGCCTCTGTTACTGGTGAGGGACCTTCAGGACACAATTCCTTTCTTTCAGCCAAGGCAGCAGCCCTGCTTCTGCTGTGAGGCTTTGTTAACTCCTGGCTGTGCTTCCCACTAGGTCGCCGCTCTGGTCTGTGGCTGAAGCTCCTGGGCCCCCTGGAGCCATGGAGCAAATGACCTGCTTCTTCTGCTGGCTCCTGCACAGCACTGCATGACTGCCTCCCCTGGCCTCTGGGGCCTGGCCTCTCCCCTCTGTACCTCTCCCTCTTACTTTGTTGCTCTCTAGGCACAGCAGGCTTCTCGGGCCGCCTGGGTTCTGCCCTGCCCTCTGGTACCCTGGGTGGCTCTGGAGCCGAGGCTTGGCTAGGTGGCTGGGGCACATCCACAGTGCTTGCACCCACTGGCAGCTCAGGGGCAGCGCCTGCTTGGCCTGCATTAACAGCAGCTGGAGGCTGAAAGAAAGAAACCAGCACTGAAGAAAGGGAGAGGGAAGTCCCACAGCACAGGACAATGCTCAGCCCTACAGTCCAGGACCCCCCTGTGCCCAGTGCCATACCGTCTGGAGGCTAATGAAGTAACGGTTCCTCTCTGCTTCAGGGTCAATGATGCCCCCTTTCTCTTGCTGTCTCTTGAAAATTAAGCGCAGTTCTTCCTGATGCTGTAGTGTCTTGGCATCGGGCTTGTATGGCTCCTGAACGACAGAAAGCAAGGCAGGCTAAGGGTTCTCTCCACACGTAGCATGGATCAGCAGCTGGCAGTGCTAAAAGCAACTCCCCAGACCCTCCTTTGATTGCACGTGAAATCTGTGTACACTGGCATAGCTGTTGGCATAACTTGCGTGTGCTCTGGTTCCAAATTAAGGGGTTTTGTTTGTGTCTTAGGGAAATTAAGGCCAGGTTGGATGGGGCTTTGAGCCACCTGGTCTAGTAGATGCCCCTGCCCAAGGGCCTATATGGTCTTTAAGGTCCCTTCCAACCCAAACCATTCTACAATTCTAGGAACAGCGGTAGAGCTATTCTTAGCTAGGATTCTTAGATAGTAGTAGAGCATGCTGGTGCAGACCCACTGTTCATGCAGTGACTGCCTTGGGATGTCCTGCTGTGGGACAAGATACAGAGCAGCTACACGTAGGTCACTCTCCCAACCCTGATTATGTCCCAGTGAATACAGAGACATTGTCCATGGCAGAATCACCTCTCCCCCAGCACATCTGCTCAAGACTCAGGGCGATACAACCAAACATGTGCTTTGTGGACACATCTAAGAGACAGAACTGCTAGGTTTTGTGAACTGTCCTTTGGATGGGCCATCTAGAAGGACCTGACAGTGTACATTCATTCATCTGTTATGATGCCCAAGCTGAAGTGGGCACGTGAGCCCCAT